AATAAAGATAAATGAATCCTTTACTCTTAAAAAATAAAGATAAATGATTCATTTTCATTTATTTTTTAAAGATAAACGATCATTTATTTTTATTTATTTTTTAAAGATAAACGATCATTTATTTTTATTTTTTAAAAATAAAGGATCCATTTATCTTTATTTTTTAAGAGTAAAGAATTCATTTATCTTTATTTTATTAAGTAAAAGTAAAGTATTACCCTATTTGGTATTAGTTTAGAACTTGATGATCGAAAAGTGGAATTATTTCAATCATCCGATCTTTTCCCCTAATGTTTTCTTTATAGATCAAAAGATATTTGTAGAAGAAGCGCAAGGAAATTTGAATAAGAAGTACCTCTTCTCTTCTTTAGTAGTCCGTATTGCATTCATTGAGAATATCTAACGCTAGGTCCCTGCTCTCTTAATAAAACGAAGAGTTGCTTGTCAAGATGAAGTTTTCATCGCATGAAAATTGTTATGACTAGAAATATTTTGTCATTCATGTGAGCATGAAGAAGAAGCTAAACTTATATAGTAGCCTTTAATATAAACTATTCTTCTTACGGTCATCATCAACTCACTTGTACTTGATCGATATATTCATGGTAGGCATCGCCTACTCTGGAAGCAATGGTGAATCGACTAGGTGGTTCATATCGAGGATCGAATGTTTTAAGTAAATTGACCATGCCGGATTTCATAAATGTAGTAAATGGTAATGAATCATCAATAATACAATCGACAATTGCTTTATCCAGTTCTTTTGTACGAGTTTTTGAGAGAGTTGTTGTAGTATCATTTTTTGGAGCAGGTTTTGGTTTTATTTGAGCTAATTGTGAATCATAAACAGCAGCTGTAATATCATGCTTTGCGAACAGATGACGACGTAGATTAGTTGCTGATCCATTGTTTGCCACATATACCTATCAAAGTAAAAAAAAAATGATGAAATATTCAATTGAAATAATAGTCGAAACAAAAGAGACAAGGAAAAGCAAGCGAAACTGTTATCAATATATGTTTAATATTTGTTTATTTGAATAGACGCGTACTCTTCTGAACGTTTTTGACTTGATTTTTCGAAAAGACTCAGTTTATCGAAATAATTTTATTCGAAATGACAAAATATACTTTTTTAGTCGAAGTCATTATTTTTTCTTTAGATAAAACTACTGCATTGAACAACAGAGTTGTTCTCTATTTAATTTCCGTTCTTGCTAACGGCTATTGAAAGTATCTTCCTACGTTATTTTTAAGGAGAAGATAGAAATTACCTGATGACAAGTATTGCAGTTGTATTTACCGTCAGATCGAAGAGTAAAGTGAGATAGGACGGCATCCTTCTTCATTTTACCTGATCGAGTCGTAGTACTAATGTTTTGCTTGTGATGTTGTTCATCATCAGATGGACAGTCAAAAGGCAATGAATGAGATGGTAATTGAGAACGATTAAGTGGACTGGATCGAGGAATAGGTGAAAGAGAAAAATGTACATTTTCGTTTTTTTCATTCGTTGAAATTGACGATTGATTGATGATGAATGATTGAAGATTAATAGATGATTGAAGATTGATTGATGATTGATTGGAACGACGACCACCACGACGAGTTGGTTTTGGTGTGGTGGCAGCACGACTCGAAGAACGACGAATACTATTAGTATGAGAAGAATTCAAGCTACGACCACGTCTTCGAGCTGCTGAATGATGACGAGTAGAAGATTGTAGAGCATCGACTGATGGAGATAGAAGAAACTGATATTCCATTTCTTCTTCAGTTGACATTATTTGAATAAGATCAATTCAAAATTGGAAAAGTACAAATAATACCAATAAATGTTATAATAGAAACATAAGAATGAGAAAGAAATGAAAACATTTTTTTTGCTGTTCTGCCAGAGACTGAACTGTCCATTTTTTTTCGTTCATATAGACAATTCATTCGATGAAAATACTTAATCGAAGAGAAAGACAAAAATGACGAAAACACGTGTGCTTCGAAATCAATATAGAAGCGTTAAGATAGTTCAAACAAATAAATGATTTTATTTATTCTAACGAAATATACCAACCGTTTTGAATTACAATTTCAAGCTCTGCTATATAAACAAACTAACTAATCCTGAATCATATATACGAATTTTAAACTACCA